ATATATATATATATATATATAATATTTGAATAAAAATGTACCATATCTGTAACTGATGCAAATATTCTATTAAGGATAAATTATTGATTATATATTTACATTTTTTAAACCAAAACTTTCTAGGTCAATAAATTTTAAAAAATAAGGTAATTATAACAGAATTTCTGTATTTGAGTATTTTTTTACGAAAATTTGTATATTAAAGTCAAAATAACATTTATGTGTACTTATAAAATATGCTTTGTCATATCGAATCTCGTTTTCTCGCTTTAGTCTTGACAAATTTCTTAACTGTGTCTTCAAACTCTTGGCGTACCAAAATGTCATTTTCTATGTATAACAGATAATGCATTTAATGTGTTTTGTTTAAGACACGATCTCAATTTTCTTACGTGCTTCAAAGCAGAGGAAGATCGTTCGCTATTAGCATTAGTCACATACATCAATAAATAGCGTCTTGAAATAATTTTCTCAGTTGGAAATTTATCTTGTATCGACGATTTCTATAATAAAGAATTTCCTCCGCATTACCATTTTCTAAAGAGTTTTCTCACAAATGTAGCCCATTTTTTCATACCGAACGAGTTAGCCAGCCATGAACGGATCTCATTTGGAAATCAACTCAATGCAGCCTAAGAAAATTTTGGAGTGATCGCTGTTGCGAATAATAAGCCAGTTATAGGTGTCTTCTCTATGACCTCATTTTACTATTATGTTTTTACTTTTGCTTTCTTTCTATTCTCCGCACCACTCGGTTTCTTTTCAACCGTACCATTGCCATCATTCAGACATTCTTCCTACAAAACAAATTGAACACAAAAAATACTGTATTCGTTGCAGAAAACTACAATTTTTGGTGCCAACTTTAATATTAGATTTGTTCATTATATGGAACATATTTTTATGAAAATTAACATATATGAAATTATACCAAACTAAGAAAAGATACTGCACTCGATTCTCGACTCTTTTGCATGCTTGGTTCCGAATAAGCTCATATTGCCGAAATAATACGTACAACTGTTAAGTGATTGATTAGATTCAAGTTAAGAACGAACCTGAACGTTAGTCTAGTGTGTAAATATATTAATAAAATTATGAAGAACATAATATTTTCTCTATTAAACTCCAAATTATTAATATCTACTATAATATTTCAAGATTAGGTGAAAGTACACGTAAACTAAAAAAACTTACAAGAACAAGTTTGTTTCTGAATTCAAGTACAATATTAATTATATGAAAGCCAATTTACGGTTTCCTGGAAATTTGGGTGACCTAAATATTTTAAAGTGTATGCACTAAATACAATTTGAGAGCGTCGTTTTAAATGTGTATTTCATACTGTGGTCGCCGTGGTATTTTAACCTTCTAAAGAACCCAACAGATGTCACTATTTTGGCGGCACCGAGTAAATGTTAAATGCTTTTTATTTGAAAATTATCGACTATCATTTCTAGTCTTAGAGACATCTTTTTTTAATGTATAATCCTGTATCTTAATCAAGTTATGCTGATATGAAAAATCAGCACATCACAGCAAATCACAGTAAAATGAAAATTTTGAAGTCAGATAATTAATTATCAGAAAATTAATCAGTCATTTGTTTTTGTAATTTATTTCTGTAATTTCTCAACAAAACTGTTCAAAACGCATTTTGCACAAATGTAAACATGTTAAGATAAGAAATTGATTTTATTTTGCGTTGAAAGAAATATTTGAACTAATTTCTCACCGCGATATTTATTTAATAAATAAACGATATTTTTATATCTATTGTATGTGTATATCATGTTTCAATGGATATTTGTATAAATTCAATATATATTATTGGACATATATTTAATTAATTAACACTTTCTTTTGATACAAAATGGAAAAAAATATTTATATAAAAATATTCAAACGTTCGCTTTATGAAATTTTGCATCCTCTGAAATTCGTCCGGCCCCAAAAATTGCGCACCCTAGGCTGCAGCGTACTCGGCCTGTTCGGTAATCTGGCACTGCCTATCAGTCTATTCTCACACAAAATATATTTATTGTATATATTTATTTTTTGGCGAAGTTCTGTTTTTATCTTTTAGGAAATTATCCAATGGTATACATCTCAAATACATTAGAACTGAAATCAACGTAGCATAATGTAAATTTATGTTGGCACAAAGAGTATATGCAGAGTATATGTTGGCAATGATATCTTTCAGAACGGTTTGTAACAGTTGCCTATTCTGTAGTGCCGAGTCTGCTGAAGTTGCTTGTTGCGGATTGTTGCGGCGAGGTGTGTTGTCATCTGTGTCACATGGTGTTGGTGGCATTTTTGAAAGAAATACCTAATATATAGTGTTTCCAATCAACGATTATACTTGAGGTAAGTTATTTGAATATTTTTATGTTAAATATGGTGTTGTTGGCTTACATTGCACAAAAAGTACGTGCCGAACTCGAGTCGTTCGAATGAAGTTCGTGAGCCGGTTAGCATGATTGAGTGAAATTTCGAACTTAAGTGCGTTGTCATTAGCTACATATTTACGTGGATAATCTGCCCATCCTTTTCCAATAGATACATGATCACACATAGACATGTGATATTTGATAGATGTTACAAAATCGCGTTTGCCGAACTGATGTTTTTGGTGACACAAAGTTTGTCGAAGTTGGTTGTATTTTGTACGATTCAAGTGCATATATTCTAGAAATTTTGAACCAGTTTTTGAATTGTTACAAGTACAAATATTGATATTCGTATCTTGTTGAAAGTCATAACTAACCCCCTTTAAATTTGCACCAATATAGTTGTGTGCTAATGACAGCGCCAAATGTGTTTTTTTTCTAAGGAGTTTTTATTTTAGTGTGTTACAGAAAATGGATCTGGTAAAATCTTTGGGAATTCGTACAATTGAGGCTGTGATAGTATTTTTCCTCGTTACCTTTTTACCTGGTTTTCCACCTAATATGGAATTTACTGCTTTTAGGTTTGTTTCACTACTGCTTTTACAGAGTTCTCATGACTCATCAAATTTTGCCTAACACCATGTTGTTTTGCAGTGTTGCTCCATCAATGCCCCTTAAAGGTACCTTGGAACTAAACACAAAATTAAACAATGCGGAACGTTTATTAGATGGCGATATCAAGGGTCCTGAACACATAGTAGCCTATAATGGAGAATTATATACTGGCATTCATGGAGGAGAGATTGTGAAAATAGTGAATGGCAAATTTGTGCCAGTTGTAAAATTTGGAAGACCTTGTGGTAAAGATTTCTGTAGCTTTTATAATGCATTAAAACGTTTTGAAGATTTGTGTGTTAACTAATTTTGACAATGTGAAGTCTCCTTACGGAGTGGGTCTTTCAAAGATGATCATTAGAGCAATATCACTTAACAAGGAATTCCTAAATGTTTGTCTGCACATAATCAACATTAAAAATCAAAATTCCAAAGTATAAATAACATGGTTCTATGTTGGCAAAAGAATATGTACTTCCCTCCTTGCTCGTTGCTTAGTGTCCACATATTCTAATGTGACAAAATCACTAGTGAATCATACGACTCGTTTTTCCTTTTTGGAGGCCCACAAAATAAAGGCTTCAGGTTTGTTTAATAATTTCTTAATTCATTGCAATACTCTTTAAAGCTGGGCTTTGGGAAGAGAGTGTTTGTGGAAGACCTCTTGGTTTCCAATTTGATAAAAATGGCAATATATATGTTGCTGATGCATATTATGGAATCTTCAAGTATGAAATGAGAACAGGTATGAACCCTTGTTAGATTTTCCTATTGTGTGTTTATTATTTACATAATGAAGTTCAATTTTATAGTACAAAATTTCTCTTGGCATGTGCATCGATATGCATACTTTTGCTTCATAACTATTTTTAATGTGTAGCAAACTGAATTCTTGTAAATATAATGTATCCAAATTTGTATTTTCATATTCCCCAAAACAAAGTTTCCATGATAGTCTGCATTGTCATTTGATTCTAAAATCATCATAATTTCTTCAAGAAATCACATGTTCATGACATTTTTTCCTTTTCTCTTCAAACATTTATACATTTCTACAATGCTAGGAGATTTTGGAAAACTGATTAAATTTGGTTTTTAATCAATACTTTGGTAAATAGTTCCAGTTATTTCCAAAACAATTCTTCAATATATTATATTTAATGTATTTTATAGATATTTTAGTTTTGTGTGTAACCATCTTTTTTTATGTGGATTTTTTTCCAAAGGTACATCAACCACTCTCGTATCTATCAATGAAACAATTGATGGAAAAACACCGAAACTTCCAAATGATGTAGCTGTTGCCAGTGATGGAACAGTGTACTGGACAGACTCCAGTACAGAAATTACCCTTGAGGATGGTGTTTATGCTTGCTTGGGGGATGGCAGTGGCAGGTCAGTATAATACTGTTTGGATGTCAAGAAAGATGTGAAATTTGATGGTTTTGGTGTCTGTCTTTTTTTTTTCTTTCCTTTTTTTCTTTTTTTACCCCTTTTTTCTTTTTCTTTTTTTTTTTCCCATGGCTCTAATCATTTTGAAAATTTACTGAATTAAATGCTGACACAAATGACGTGTTTCAAGACTATAAGTAAATCGAATTTGAAAATTTTGTGGGTTAGGGCGTTGTAATATCTTTTATAAATCAATAGTATCTTTAATTTTACAAATACAATTACCACGATTTAATGATAAATTCAATAGCTGATTTTGTAATTAAGTTTTTTCTGCTTTTAAAATAATTAAGGCCAAATAAATCACAACAATTTTGGTTTAAAGTAAAAACAACTAATGCAATTTAAAAAAATCTTATTTAAATCAAAAACATAAGATTTTTTTCAAAAAACATAATTTTTTTCCAGCTCTAGTTTTCAAGCGTGTATTTACATAGAAATTCGTTCTCTATTTATTAAAATATTAGCTTTAGAAAGCTTTGCTATTTTCATCAGATCTGGTACAAAACTGATTAATAGATTTTTTTAGTAATGAAACAATATAACTTGATAAACTAATACTTCGTAATTAAAGTATTATTGAATTAATTGTAGAAAGAATATAATATAGCATGGGGAAAAATTAAGTAGGCAATAAATCTATTTTTAATTTTTGCGGCAACAATTTTATTAAATTTTTATGTGTGAATTGTATAAAAAAATTAATGATAGATGAATAATACAAAATGAATTTCTTTTTGTTTGATTGCTAGGAGTGTTATTATGAATGCTCGTTTCCTTTATTGTTAGTAAAACTTAATTTAATTGTATGGAATATTTCTAATCTAATAATGATTTTTTTCATGTTAGAAACATACCAAATAGTATGATTTAGTTGTTGTGTATGATACTGGAAGATTTTTGTAATATTCAGAAGTATTTCTTCAATGACGTATCTTCCCAATTTATTGATATATTAAGTTCTCTTCTACCCCATTACAGTGATGTTATGTTATTGTGAAAAGCTCCAAATTATAAAATAATTTAATATTAGTATGTCAATGGGGTATAAATATGTTCACAATTGAAATTTAATAGCTGAAAATTAATTGAAAATTTACTAATTTGATTACTAAATTGTTTTGGAAACTATTCTGAGATATTTTGATAATGTGGATAATTTTGATTTTCTTGGTGATGGTGATATTGATGTTTGATGGTTGTTTCGATAAACATGGTATTGCATTGTTTAGTTATCAAGGAGCCCCATTTTGAACATACGCTGTTTTGTGTATTAGGGAGCATGGTGTGGCTTGTGGTGAAGATTAATCAATGCCAATTGTATATTAAATATTGAACAATAACATTGTACATGGCCCTGAGTTAAACTCTGTCAATCTTTCCTTTATCTTCCTAGTCTCATCCTCTCTCCTTTGAGATTTCAATAGTGTTGCATATCCCAAAAAGCTGTAACTAGAGATTTGGGACTCTAAGGCAGCACACGGTAATAGGGGTCATCCTATTTGTTTCTCCCAATATTATAAACTTTTTCTTGGTTTTGGTGATGGTTTTCATATCTATAATTTTATAAGCCTTCTTTCATTTAAAATTATTTCCATACATGTAGTGATGTGTAATATTACATTTTGTTTTTTTTCCTGTTTAATGTTGTGAAGTGAAATATAAAGTAAAAATTAAAATTCTGAAAGTAGTGTTCAATTTTTCGGAATAAAATTATGAATGTAAAAAAAAATTGATATATTTCGCTTCTCATTGGAGGGGCACTGTTGTATTTACCTTGATGGTAGTTATGGCCCTAAAATCCAATGAAACATCAAGAAAATATAATGTTCAAAAATATTTATAAGTACGTACTATTATTTCATAAGTATAGTTATACATTCTTATTTTGGAATTATAATTAAAATTTGTCAAATATTTTGTTACTGCATTTGGACCTCCATACTTCAAAATTCTCTACTAATTGAATATTTAATGTCACTTGAAAATTCCTTACAAAAATATTTCTATACATCAAAAGTTTTTTCTATATTTGAAGCTGATGTTTTGACTTGACTTTTTAAATGTGTGAAATAAAAATTTACAGTACAAACTATAAATTGTTTCCTAAACAGTATTTAATTTGGAAGGATAGTATTACTACTGCGGAAAAATATAACTTTCTTCTGGACATTTGTGTAATAGAATAATTGTTTGTACACTTTCTATGTCCAGTTTCCAGCTTTCTCATGAAGGTAACTCATTCCTGCTATCGCTCCTCATTGGGACTTTCAGTTGTGGGAATGCATTCACATAAATGATGTGAAGGTCGATCGCAAGATCCTTCGTCTGCTAGGCCTGTCCTATGATGTTAATTTGTCAGTTAAGTGCAAGTTTAGTTGGTTGTTACACACTTAAAAGCAATACTTCAATTTCATGTCCGTTTATGTAAATAGGTGGTACGAAGGATTAAAAGATTTGTTAATTATTTAATGTTTAAATTTTCAATTTTGCCCAATTTCTCCTAATTATTTCTGTGTATTGAAGTTTCTATGTATCAAATATTGTTGAAGGTCCTGTCAGATTCTATATATGGGCAGGCTGACCTCTTTCTGGAAAACGCCGGGAAAACTGGAATTTCAATTCCAGAAAAATGTCAAAAAATATTCAAAAAATTGATTGTCAATGTGGAATTGGAGCTAACGATTATTTCTAATTGATAGGATTAATTATTTATGATAAAATTATTCATAAGAAATTTTATTAATTATAAGAATCATTTTTAAATCATTATTTTAAGTTAATTATGTCATTTTAAGTCACAAACTAACAAATTACGTGATACTCTATAAAACATTGTCTAATGTATTTGAAAATACAAACTTAGAATAAACTGTAACGGTGCAAGCACTCTAAACATTATGCGTGTGAGAGGAAAAGACAGCCAATAATTTTAAATTTGCTTTGAGGACTTTATGAAATTTGTGCTCACATCCCTTATTGGATCGACGTGTGTTCTCATTAGGATTACTACAACTGACTGCAGGTGGAGAAAAATGCCATCATAGTCAATTGAGACATGCTTTGCTATCTTGTGAGCCCAGAGTTATGGAATTTGAGAAACAGTCGGTGTGAGAGAGAGAGAGAACAGAAGAAGAGAGATACTGAGGAATTGATAGCACTGAATAATGAAAAAAAATAATTGCACATTAAGCAGCTCACCTCGAAAGGACAATTAAAACGTTGAAGGAAAAATTATCAAAAAATGCTCAATAAAGATGAATGATTTTATGATTTTTCAAATGTGATCAAAGAAAATTATATTTGACTTAATTTATGAAAGTCCAGAGCAGGCTCTTAGTCTGGGCGCAAAAGAGGATTAATACAAGTTTCTTAATTGTAAAATAAAATGAGAATTCTCTATTTAAAATTATAATTTTAATAAAATAATTAGTGCAATTGTATAAGTAATACAAAGGTTGATGTAACACAGGATCAAAATGATAACTCTGGGAAAATACATTTGGATTACTGGCGGTCACCCTGACGGAGGTCTGACTGTAGTTGATTTTTGTCACTCATGCAATCGTTTACAGCTCTATAATGATAAAAAAAATTGCTAAAAAAAAATGTTTTCGAAACTTAGATCCCATTTTCAATGTTGTTAAAAGTGTATTATAAATTCTCCAGTTTCCTTTAGTTGAAACTGATTTTACTGTGTTAAGTTTAATGTAGTTTAGAATTCTTTCTTCTTGTTAGAAACATATTTGATTGCACAATTGTCCTCAGGATGTTTTTATTGAATGATTTATTAGCGATTCCAGGTGCATCAACTGTTCACATCAATAGTAGAGACGATTTCCATGCAAATTCATGTTTTTATGTAAGCTTCATAGAGATTTCATACTTTGTAAATATGTTTCATGAAAAATTATTTTAAAAAAATGCATACATTTGCCGTGCATTTATTGGTAGTTTTTTTGAGATATTCATCCATAATGCATGTGTGGAAGTTTAATGAATTAATACTTATTTAGATCTATCTTGCATATTAAGTACTTTCTTATTATATCTCTCATAATTTGTGAATGTTAAAACTGAAGCACATTTTTTATAAATGGTAAAAGTATATTGACCTTAGATCCTGAAAATAAGCAGTTGTCCTTGGTGCTTATTGTTATACTACTACACGTTTTAACCTTTCGGTACACTACTTGGATTTGTGACATGAGTACATGTGCAGTGAGAAACTATCGCCAAATGAATTATCAATGCCATATGATACGTGGCAAAAGATATGAAAGATGCATGTAACCAAAACTCAGTATCGTTTGATAACTGATAATGGGAGAGGAAAATAATCCAGAGCAGGCTCTTAGTCTGGGTGCAACAGAGGATTAACACAAGTTTCTTAATTGTGAAGTTAAGTATAAATTGGCTAACGCTTGTTGTGCAGCACTAAGCAAAGGATTGGAAATAAGATTGTCTGAAGGACGAATGTAAATGTAATTTATTGCTATTGCTGCAATATAGAAGTAGTTTATATTGTAAAAATTGATCAATTAAAAAAATAATCAGGTCTGAACTCAACTCTAGGACTTCCCGCCCAGAGGCAGCTACAGTATCAACACAACTCATGCCCTGAGCTACCTAAATCTTTGTGGGGTGTTTTTATTAGAAGCTTTTGTTATTTTCAAGGATATTGCAATATATTCTCTGTTTCAGGTTACTGCGTTACGATCCTAAAACGCACACAAATGAAGTGTTAATGTATAATATGCACTTTCCTAATGGACTTGCCTTGTCACCAAAAGAAGATTATTTGTTGATGTCAGAGACTGTGAGGAGTCGTATTCACAAGTAAGTGCTTTTTAGGAAAGGGAGAGAGGAAAAGAAATATCAATTGCCACTCTGTACTCAGTTCTAAGAAAGAACTTGTTTTTACTAGTGTCCTTTTATCTTTTTGTTTAAGACCATTCTGTTTAGAGACAAGGAAAAAAAATCAAATTTATACTTAGTGATCGAAGCTACACTGATAGGGTACTTAAAATCACTGACCTTGAAATTACTCGAGGTAAACTGCGATATTAAAAATTGTCACTGTGATATACTTAGTGATAGAGAAACTAAATATTTAGGTTTATATATCATTCAAAATTTGAAATGGAGATATTATCTGTTCCAACTGGCCATGAAAACTACGCATTTAATTTTTATATTTTACAAAATGTCTTGGTAACTAAACTATTATTAATGCTTTACTTGTTTTTTGGTCAGTGGCTACATATGGTATCATAGTGGGGGGAGGTGCCTATGACAAAAACGTAACTCCAATGCCGAATGCTCGTAAAAAAATTGTAAAAATTATATTTAAGAAAAATACAAGGTACCCCTCCAAAAATTTATTTAGGGGGGAAAAATCTGTCAGACTTAAAACGATTTTATATTGGAAAATGAATTTGTTATAATTATGAATTGATGAATAATAAAGTTCTCAAAATTCAACTGAGAAAGAAGAAAAAAATGTAGCCTACTACTTTGAGTATTACTATAAAACTAAATAATGTACAGAAAATTATTTCTTTCCCTCTCATTGTGTAGTTATTTAATTTTCTATTCTTCCATCAAGATATTTGTAAAATGAGAAAAAACAGAAGTTGATCCTCTGGAAAGATATGTAATTAAGTTAGGCCAAGTGTGCACACAAGTAATAACTGCCTTTAGGAGAGTATCTATGGATGCTTTACTATTTCATGTACACAATATGTGTACATGTATGATAACTTGGAAAATATATTCAAATATTAAAATACCTTATGCTCTGTGCTTGTATTGCTTCACAAATATTTGCCATCATTCTTGATGAATGGTATCATTGTATTTCATAATACTAGATTTTAGATGACATATATTGCCTTCATAGATGGGATTTCTAATTTGTTAGCATTAGTGAAATAAGGTTATTGGTGAATTGTGCCATTATTGTGTTGCTGTTGTGTATCTTTCAACATTTCAAAGTATTGTAATCAGTCCTTGATGGGTTGTGATGTGCTCCTGTTATTTTGATTGAAGGAAATGTGGAACCATTCAAAACTTTGTTGACTTCTTATGCCAAAAATCATTGAGCTCATACTACACTATACATTGTTGAAGAGGGAAATTTGATGAATTGATGATCATCCTATCAGCTTTGAAAAACTGAAAACGTCAACAATTATATACTATTTGTCTAGCCATTCTTGTCATATTAAATGACAAAAATTGGTATGTTGCTTGTACATTGGAGATGGCTCGCACAAAGAACTTCACTTAAAATGCAGTTATGTTTCAGTTGATGCCAAGCTTGCCAAATGGTGACATAGTTATTTATTTCTGAAAGGTGTTAAATGAACTAAAAGATGTTTTCATTTCATTGGTTTCATTGATAAATTTCATAATTGCTTCTCTCTTTTAACAGGTATTATTTGAAAGGCCCAAAGGCAGGAACTTCTGAAATTTTTATAGATGGATTGCCAGGATTACCAGACAATTTGAAGTCTCTTGGAGAAGAAGGCTTCTTAGTTCCCTTGGTAATGGCCCGGGACTCTGAAAACATTCTTATCTTCCAATTAATGGGCCCATATCCTCTGCTTCGAAAATTTTTTGCAAGAATACTTGCTGCTATTGAAGTTCCTTTGCAGTATGCTCACAAATTCTTCCCGCATTACTACCTTCAGAGAGCTATTCACTGGGTATGTTATTTACAGAATTTATGATATTAATTATTCACGGTAAAGTCTTCGGAATTCTTGTTACAGTTACGTAGACCTTATTTGAAACAGTTTCTATGAAATTTCAGTTTTACATTCGTATTTAAAATCCTTGACATCCATATATTACATTGCAAAAATATTTCATTTTTATGATCTTGTTATTTGGGTCCCTTACATTATTACTAGTAGTCAAATACTTTATTACTAGTGTCAAATACTTTTTTATTTCAGTGCATTTTCAGGTGCTATTGGCCTTAAATTTTCCGTAATTTGCATTTCATAATATGGCTGGAAAGGTATTGAGTTGTTGCAGGGCATCATCAGCTGCACTTCTATCAGATTGTAGAGATGTTCAAAAAGTTTTGAACAAAAAGGGTTCCTTCTGGTTGGTAATGTTTTTCTACTAGCGAAATCGTATTCTGTAAATCAGCCTTTATGCATTCGTAAAGCTGTCGAAAGTTCCTGGAATTGAAACACATTACCAACGGAGCACAGTGTTGATGTCCTCTGCTGGAAAAATATTAATTTATCCCTTCCAAACACATAATATTCATTACTGGGTGTATAATATTCAAATAAAGGAAATAAGAAAACCCGATTGACAGATTTGAAAAATTCGAAATACTCTTGATACTTTATTAATAAAAATTAATATAAAGGAAATATATTTCCAAATGAATAAGACAAGTTCAATAAACACTGGAGGAAATTAAATTTCCATTATCATTTTTCATTAGCCACATTAATATTCACACACATTAATTATAGAATATAAATAAACAAATGAAAATGGACACTAAATTAATATTTTGTAGCATAATCATGGCTATCAATAACTTTTCTGTAGCTTCTTATTGAATTGGTTATCTTGATGATATAATGGTGTCCAAGTAATACGCTTTCTTCCTTTATTCTTGCTTGTTTATTTACTAACGATAAAGTTTGGAATTAATTGGCAATCTGTGGATTCTACATTCAAATTGATACCATAAATTCTCAGTGGGTTTGAGTTCAGTAAAACTGAGGATGCGCTTCCAGTACTTTAGGGCAATTGCACAAACATCACTTCCACACTTGATCGTCTAGTATTTCGGATCGTTATCTTGATACAATTTGAAGAAGATTCTGGTGGCCAGATTCTCAGCAAATTTACATAAATTTTTCTTAAGTATGTTCCGATACTTATGTTTGTCCGTAATGTCTTAATTAAACACTAGCCCTTCACACCTGAAGCTGCTACGCAGCCACACATTATTACATTTCCATCTGTGTGTGTTATTGTTGTCTAGTTTTTTTGGATGTAATTCTTTTTAGGTTTGTACTGTACCATCCTTCTATCGGTTCCAAAAATATTGAATTTTTTTCTTATTTGAAAAAATGACCTTACAGTGCTAATCTAATTAATCAATTATAATAGTCCTCCTCAAACAGTACTCTACATTATGCGTGAAACTGCGCTAAACATTACTATTAACTCTGCTGTGGTAATATGTAAGAAAGTTTCACCAGTGCTAACGTTAGGTCTGAGAGACCCATTCGAACATTTCTTCCGAATTGTTTATAGAAATTAATTTTTTTCTTTCTTAGCAAAATATATTAACTCTAGACGAGAAAGAAAACAAATTACAAGTAATTGTCAGACAAAATTATAACACATTTTTTACAACAGCTTTTATTACAAACTGCGGCATCGCTGGTAAACGTGTAGTAGTAATAATATTGCTGTGACGCATATGAATTGCCTATTGCTTTTCCCTATTAAGTTGTGTTCTCTTTTCCTAAGACGTGAACTGTAATTGGTATCAATATTCAGTTTCACTGTTTACCTCCTGCCTCACTGTCAGTATCATCCTCACTGTATAAACAGAAATCTCGTTTTGCTTTTTCATGTTCACTCAATGCATTTAGCACTTCCTCTAACAACCATCTTATTTGCGCAGCTCTAGTTTCATTTTCTTCATCCATTTCCATCATATGTTGACCTATGTAACACACAAGCAATCTATAAAGCTATCACAGTTCGAAAATCAAGGGGTAACAAATCGTCTAATCATTCTAGAAAGAAGTATATGAGGGGTAACTATGGGTGAGTCAGAGCCAACAGTTTCCTTATGTCACAGATTTCTCTTTCACTCAACAGTAACTAATAATGAAATATAGTTCTGACTATAATTCTAAAGAAAATGGTTATTTTGAAAGCTAGAAGAAAATTCAATTAATTGCTGAGTTTCCATTTCAAGATATGTTGAAATAAATTTTACACTTGGTCTGGAGGACCCAATGTTACTGTCAGGGATTAACAGCCCTCATAAGTGATTTTTTTTCCAAGTCACTGTCCTATTGTAGCCAGCATTCCTAATTTCTCCACAAACCATTTCATGACGTAGTGATGTCTCTGACTCCTCACTTGCACTGCTGCTAGTTAGAGTGCAATGACTTTTGTATTTTCTTATACTTCATTCAAAACTACATGCTGATCTTCGGTTGGCCTCATTTTTAAGTCTAGTCTATCCTCTTTTTTGAACCTGTAAAAGATGCCATACACTGTGCTCTTACTCCTTCCAAAAACAAAAACAAAAAAACAGATTTCTCTGTGGGAGCATACCTTTGCATGGTGAAAAATTACAAGCAGTATTTGAAAACAAAGATCTTCCCCTTACATCTCATATTACTAGTTGTTTCCAGGCAGAAATCTACATAATAGTCGATTGAGTTTTTAAGCAGTTCTTAGGTATGGTACACATGCTTGGTTGCGTAGGAGATAGAGCGAAAAAAGCAAGGTTTTCCATTACTGTTTCAAATATTAGTGTGACTTCTTATTCTTCCGCATTCATAAATAAACTATTAATACATATTGAATATTTAAGATCAGTGATGAAACAATGCTCTCATCCCCACAACTCATTTTTTGCTTTGTTCACCTACCTTGTCACACTAGTCAATTCATTGCAATAATGGATAAGACCCATATTATTAAAAAATATTGTTATTATTAGTTCAGATTGGTGCCACCATGTTGAATCATAGTAGCATGCGTCAGGACATGTTGCCTTTATCATGATCATGTGATTGGTATAGTCTATTACACGAATCAGATGTGATTAAACTTGCCAATTCTGGTATGGTAGCATTTATGGGTATAAATAGCTGAGGCAAAGAAATCGGGAAAATGGCGGGGGAAAAAATTCTGTCAACATGATTGTCGTTGGGGTGGGGGGAGGGACATTTTTTATTTGGGATATATTGGAAGGGACTCCTCAGTAATCTTTACCTTGTCTGTTGAATTGTCCTATCCCACTCCTAATAATTTGGTGCTGGTGACTAATGGTGGCAACCACCAAGCACCTTGGAAAGAAAACTTTCCCAAGAGCCATTCTTAAAATTCACTCAGACTGCTGGGTAAGCGAAAAGACTACTGGGAAACGACTTTCCAAGGGGAAAAAAATCAATTGATGCCATACTACTTGAAAGAGAATGGAAAGAGAATGAATGATGTTTGGATATGAGGTATATGCAGTGTTGTAATCAGACAAAACGTGAAGTTCCTTTTAAAGGGTCAGGTGTAATATCTGTATAAATAGCTTAATGCACATGTGCCAATTATAGAAGGTTGCCTATTATGGAATTCTTCACATTGTTACATCATGTGATCAAATTTAAACCTAAATTTTAACCCCCACACTGTATTATGTGTTCAAATTTTAACCCCTTTCTTTATTGTGGTGAATGTTCAAAAACTGATTTACCTTAATCTGGTTAATTTAAGGCAGGAAAAAAAGTCAAAAACTGGTATAAGTGATACAGGTGACCAGTGTGCATGTGTTGATTCTGAAGCGTCATGCTTCTCTTTTTTCCCGACGCGCATCCCACTATTTTTTATATTTCAATTTGCCTGTTAATTTTGATGAAAAATGCAAATATTAATCAATTTTTAATTACAACAATTGACTTTTGGTACATTTTGGCAAATTCCATTACAGCATTAAACACATAAGTACAATTATTAACGGTTTTTTATCTTTTCAGCTTGGTCATTTTGAATCTGTGTCTGCAATGAGCCCAAAACGTACAACGATCTTACATCTTGATCTGGATGGTAATGTTGTTGAAAGCTTTCACGGCAATGATAGTACAGTGTCTGGCATATCATCTGTTGAGATCTTTGAAGATGCTTTTTATTTGGGATCCCCCTACAATACTTACATTGGTCGTGTAAAACTTCCCCTTACTCTAAAGAAAACTCCTGTAAAGTCTGTCAAGGAATAAGGGAAAGAACAGTGTCTCTCTTGCATTGTATTCATTGATGCAAATGCTCATGTATATCTGGTCAACATGTTATTGGGTTGTGTTGAATAGTTTAATATGGCAGGCTGTATTTAAGTAGGTATTAAGTGTTGTTACATTATTACCATTGTTTTGTTAATTTATGTAGTATTTCTCTTAAATACATATTGTTAGCCTAATTATAAATATTTGAATGGTTGTGAATATTTCTATGAGAAAAATCTGAAAGTTCCTTTCATGGTAGTTGGAAGTTTAGTATTGATGAGGATTGCTGAATCTTTAAAAGGAATCCACCAACATCAGATCACTTTTCTCTTTTAAAGACCAATTTTGTCATTGCATTATTCTTAGTCTAAGAATGTTTAAGTAAGGGAAAATGGCAAGTTGAAATGTTATCCCATCATTGTTACTTAATGATAAAATGTTTGTTTTCAAAGTTTCAGATATATAAACAAAGCAGAATTCAGAATTTCTCAAGTATAAATAATGTGCTCTTTGTAAGACTGACCTGTCTCCCATGTATTTAAGAGATTAGATTACTCGTTATGGACAGGTGTATAGTACTTTTAAGTGTTTGATATCAAAGTTTTTATGTTTTGTTATAATCATTAAATTTAGGGTTACAAAGATTTAGACTGCTGTATTAATACAATGTATTAATAAAATTTCAAAAAACTTATTTTAAAGTTTTCATTTACGCAACTTAAAGTAGTGCATTGTGTTCCTGTTACATTTTTTAAATAGGTTTTTGAGAAACCATTTAGCAACTTTATTTTTTGTGTGAAAAACAACAAACAAACAAACATGTCAACAAATACAATTCATGTAACATGAAAGAATGGATTCGGGTCACCAGAAAGATATGTCACACACATGCACGTGAGATGCGAATAGCTAATCCTTGCTGCGTAGCGCCCACAAACAAATGTTCGCTTGTGTCATGGCCTTGCCCCTTCCATTTGCTCACTGCCCCAAAACTGATGCCCAATTTTTAAAAAAAGTTATGAGTGAAATTTACAAATGAAAAGGTGCCTGAAAAGAGGTTTCATGCTCAAATCTTGATATTAAAGTGTAATTTGTTGGAAAAAATTATAAAAGATTTATTTGCAATATTTTTTTTTATAGAAACTTTCCTTTCTTCATCAAAAACAAGGAACTTTCTAATGTTTGAGTTGTACATTGACCATAGTAAGCATAACCTTGTACAGTCCTAAATAAAAATTTTGATCCTGACAAATTACAGATCAAAATTATAGTAGCAAATACAACAAAAAACCTGCAACCTCTGAATCTACTTTTCTGCACATTCACGTGTGCAATTTGTGAATTGTCTCACAAAGTACATAAACATTTCAGGAATAAATGAAGACATCATTTTGCAACAGCATGACAAAATGAACATTATTTATTGTTTACAACAATACATGAACTACATTATTTTTTTCTTTCATCAAGTCCTCAGTCCAAGATTTGAAGCATCCCGATGTTATGATGGGTTCTGGATGGATTCTCTGCAACTGAAACGGAATATTTCGAAATTACTACAAACTTCGTTCTTATGCAATGTGTGACAAATAATCTATTATTGGCTATGGATGGCATGCTAAACATTTTGTGTTCATGTTTTGCTGTTTATTTTAATTCTAAAAGAAAACAAGATAAGAATAAATTTTCAAACTTTTTAAAAACAATAATTTTAATAACAGTAAGCTAAAGTTTGTTATATTCCTTACCTGTTCCATCCTTATAATGCTTTTGCTTATCTTTTTATGCAACCATATGTAATTTTAGAAATTCAAAATGTTTGACAGAACTCTCCAGTGTTCTTGAGTTCAGCCAGAATGATAGGTGAATATCAGTTTTGGAGAAATTGTCTGGACAGTTCAGGTGTCAGTGTTGACGGCGAACAGACGTTTTGCTGCAGCTTTGCAATATAATTCGAAAGTTTTGATGCAAGTTTGTCCCAAGTAACATCTCTGCTGCATAACTGTTTCTATACAATTGCAGACTATACCTAGCATCCAAAAGGAAAGTGATATTAATTTTAACAATGACATTTAATGTATTATATAGCATTTAGATTGTATAATTCTAAACAACCTGTAACAAGTATTGTACTTCAGCTTCTGGGTCAAGGAACCCCATCTCGTTCAAGTTTTTGTCCCGTTTCCTTGATCTTTGAGCAACCGCTGAAATGGCCCCTTGTTTTGCTTCTAGACATAAATGTATCTTCAAATTAACTTCTTCCATAGCACGTCACACTCAGTTTTTAACTGTTTTTGACATAAGTTTGAAAAAAGTATCTGAAGTGAATGTATATTTTTCCTAGGTAACGGGAGTAACCACATAACCTCAACTGGCAGTCGGAATGCTTGAATTCCCGAGTCGAGTCGTGGTTCCCATGAACGAGTTTCTGGACCCGATCAGAAGGAATCGAAGAGTCAGCGGACTATCCGATTTGGACATTTTGTCAAGTATCCTGTTGTTACAACGTTCCACCTCAAGTTTGAGTATACATTAGTTATGACACTGTCTTGGAGAAGTTTGATTTACTTGTCCGAGATAACGTTCAATAATTCCGACCGATATTACACAATTGTAGAGGCATAATAAATATCGAAGATGCACTTAATACTTGAGGGTGCGGCGGGTTGCGTAGCGCTTCTGTTCATGGGCGCTTGAGTCCGCATAAACACTTAAAATCATCAACAACGGAGAGTTTTTGCACTTATCCAAAATTGCTAACGTTAACGGTTATAATTACCGTATCTTGTGTATTTCTAACGTATTTCGAATCTTGTGTGAAGCTCAAAGTATGAGTTTTGGCATAATGATTACGCTTACAAGATGCTGACATCTGGTAGCAACAGTATTAAGTTAAGTTTCGCGCCTTTACGATTTCGGGTATCGATTTTTCCATTTTGTGTACTGTAGTTTCCATTAAGTGTTTACTGTAATTTCCATCATTTGTGTCCGGGAAAACAACGTCGAGAAGCGATTGCAAAGTGTGGCTAGGTGTTCACTGGTTTTAGCCCTTCGGATGCTGAGACTGTACAATTAATTCAAGCATGTGTACTTGAGAATACTGATATGGACGATACACAAAAATGCAATTCTGCTCTAAATTTTAAAACTAAATCAATCCGTAATTATAATGACTGTACAATTTGGAACGAAGAATTGCTTCTTATTGTAAAGGGCATACCGTTTACGAAACCACAAGAATTTCCATTTTGGGCTAGTTTGAACGCATTAAATCGTCATCAACAAGGTCCCCATTTAGTGTTTTCGTGCGGCATATATACGTATAATCCACTATGCCATATATTCTTCATGCAAGTGCAAGCAGTAAGTTGACAACGTTCTATCGCAATCGGATGAACGGTACAGCAGCGCATAAAATACGAACAAACATTTATTTTTAAATATTAAATTATTACATAAAAATGACAATGCAAATTATCTAAATTTCTCGATTGATGGCAAATAAAATACGTAAATGGGAACCATAGATGCTTATGAAAAAATAACGAATACTTTTAAGATGCAATGTTTTTAAAAAGCTTCATATATATCTCTTTCAATTACTTGTAACAAGGTTATGATGATGGTTTTGGTATCTGGTTGCAGCGTCTCTGGTTGCAAGTTCCTGTTGATATTGAGACGCATGCTGATGAGTGAATCTTTCGCTTCAGCTGTCAGTCATGTACTGTCATGGGTGGAGGAGTATTCTCCAGTTAACAAAATAGCGACACAATGCGTTGTGTTAATTCTTCCGGAAACAACAGAAATTGGTCAATTAAAATTCTTGTCGCTCTAAAATATAAAATAAATGTGAGCTTAACACCAAGAATTTAATCTAAAATTCGGAGTGTGTTCGTGACAGTTAAAATTGTAATCATGAATCTCTTAGGGTTCGTTCACGCGTTGCGTCTTTTCTGTGCGTCACGGAAATACAGATCTGTTGAAATTATTAGACTCACAAGACAAATTTAGACGTTCTTATTTTGTATTTAATTGGCTGTCCTGCTGACACCGCGTCCATGGCAATGGTGCTCTGAGGCAGGCATTACGCCCTGAGGAAGGTCGCAGAATGGCGATCGAAATATCGTCACCAAAGATGCCATGAACGTGGCGTCTCCCGGACAGCCAATTAAATACTGACTCCGACCGCGGAAGCCTACGCTCTCGTTCTGATTTTGTTTTAGAATTGTTGACTTCTAAAGCATTAAAAATCATTTTTGTTTTAACTTGCCATCTTCTAGTAACATACATTTTATGAATCGAAAGTTTCGGTAATAAACATTATGTAGCTGTACAATGGATCGAAGAGGCTTTCCAAAACATTTTTAATAAACGTAGCCAAAGGTTTGTATAAAAATATAAAAATCCGAATAAAAATTAATTCACATCAATCACAACCATTAAAACCTAACCATGGATTAAAACAAGGTTGCTGCACTTCGCCAATATTATTTAATATCTATATAGACGATATTCTTAGAGAATGGAAATGAAAAGTAAAACAAGGGATCGGATTAAACGGAAATAATTATATCAATACTCTGCTATTTGCTGATGACCAAGTTATTATGTATGAAAAGGAAAATGATCTCCAAATCGCACTCCATCAATTAAATTCAATGTGTAAAAGTTATAACATGAAAATATCAAAACAAAAAAAAACGAAGGTCATGACTTTTGAAGGAGTTTATCCAATTAGATCACAGATATGCCTGGAAAACCAAACAGTAAAACTAGTATCACATTTCAAATACCTGAGATGTGATATAAGTTACGACCGAAGCCAAGATATATAAAAAATAAATTGCACAAGTTCCAATATATGTGCGGCACGCTACATGGAACATTGAGAAATAAGACTAGAAAAGATACGCTGTTAAAATTTTATAAAACAAAGGTAATTCTAAATCAGTAATTCTTTGTGGGAGTGAAAATTGGATTCTCTCTCAAAAAGAAAAAAATGAATATTCCAACTACAAAGATGAAACTTTAAGGAGAGTAAAAGTTTGTACTTTGCTAGATAAACAAAGAAATGAAGATATAAGAAAATAATTAAATATATTTTGTTTAAATGTTTGCATGCAACTGTACAAACAAGACTGCAAAAAACATTTAGAAAGAATGGAGAATAACAGGCTACCTAAAAAAGTGCTGCAGTACAACCCAACAGGAAAATGGAATGTAGGAAGTCCACGCAGAAGATGATGTGATACGTGAAGACTGAACAGGCAGCCGCCTAATCCTTAAAGTGCAGAAGAAGAAGTAGCTGTACAATTGCCTGTAAATGGCTTCTGCAGGCCAGGAGCTGGTGTTGTTTTGTGCATGTCAACCCTCCATATCGTGACGTGTTCCTTGATGGGTGAGGGGTAGCTTACTGACCTTTGAACCCCCAGTGCGCGGGTTCGAGCCCGGCCGAGGTGCACGGATTTTCGAAGAGCGGAATATCTACCGTAGCCAGGAAATCCTTGCTGCATGTAAAAGAACCCTGACGGTATGCTCGATAAAATTAAATCCCTCCGACAATATCTCGCCCTTACGAGATCTCGCTTTCTCCCAACCGGTCAGTTCGAATACTAAGACTGAGACCTACATCTGGTGGAGAAAGGGAGAGTCAAATCCCAGGCGTATTTAGGGGGTCGCTGTCGTGGTGCGCCG